GCTTTGACTTTGAAATGCTTCGAAATATTGTTTTATTTACTTGTATTACTGTGGTTAGTACAAAATAAGCTAATTTAAATATATCTACTCTGCAAAATGTCAATCTAGCCAATCAGTACAATGATTCTACAGTAATATGGAGGCAGTACGGTTACTGGAAGGAACTAAAAATGCAAAACATGTTTATAAATGTTATAGTAAGTTTATGGAATGACTGATTTATATTTAAAAAAAATATTTTACTGAAGAATTGCACTAGTATTCCTGTGGCTTAGAAAAAAAATCTATATAGGATGAAAGGGCAGAAAAGTTACCAAAAAAAAATTTTTTTTTAAATTGCTAAATGGATTCGGCTAGCGAGTTACAGTACGTTCAATATTCTTATATGTTTATAAGTATACCTTTAAAGCAAATATTTTTTTTTATAAACATAACTAAAAACGAAAATGATGACAAAAAATAGTTTTTAAATAAAAATATAGTTTGGCTAGCCAAAATTTCTTGTCATAAATGCAAAATGTCAAAATAAAGTCTTTAGGATTCGAAGCTTTAATTTTTTCTTCGACTTCTCATTCGTTTTGCCCACGACTAACGAGAAGGACAAAGGGATCCTATGTAAATTATTTGGTCGCTAATATCTCGCTAGCCAAGGTCATTTAGCAGTTTTTAAAACTAGTGTTTTTGGTATCTTTTCATGCTCTTTCATCCTATATAGCTCTCGTTCTAAAAACTGAGAGATACTTGATGCACTTCCTTAGTAAATTATTAATTTAAAAATTAAAAGAAATTAAAAATTTTTTAATTCTAAAATCAATTTTTATAAGTTTAATCAAAATTCAAAAAATTTAAATTTATTGTTATTCGTGTTTTAGAAAAATCAAAATCCAACGCAGAGACCACATCCTATAACTCGTCCTCATCGTCCCACTCGAAGACCTTTAACTCGTCTACATTATCCTACCCGTAGGCCAATAACTCGTCCACATTACCCTACCCATAGGCCTATAACTCGACTTCATTATCCTACTCGACATCCAGTAACTCAAATTAAACCTACAACAAGGCATGTTACTCATCCTCACCCTATGCCAACTCGTAATCCAGTTACCCGACCTCACACTTTACTGACTCATAGGCCAGTAACTCGTCATACACATAAGCCTGTAACACATCGTACCCATAAACCTATAACACAAATTACACGTAGTCCTGTAACCCGTTATACGCCTACACGTAAGCCAGTAACTCATGTTTTGCCAACGACAAGTCATAAGCCTGTAACGCATCGCACGCGCACTCACAGACCTGTTACACAACCTCGTTCTCTACCAACTCACAATCCACTTACTACTTTAACCCATAAGCCTATAACCCATTTTACAAAAGTTACACATAAGCCCATTACCCGTTATACTATTACTACGCATAAATCTACCAATCATCCAATTACACCCACTAATCCAACTCGGAGACCTGTAACTAAACCTACCCAAAAGGCTACAACTTACCATACATCATCAACACATAGAACCCGTACATCCTCTAGTATTCATCATAGTTCACATTCTACTACAAAAACCTACACAAAGCCTAAAACATCACCCACTACTTATATGCCTAGTTCTTCTACTAGACATCGCACAGTATCGTCTAGTACAACGCATTTTACAACCCATTCAACGCCATATCATACAACAAGAAATCATACAAAACACATCACTATGACGCCCACCAAACACTCTACTAACTCAACAAAACATAATACTGTTACACCTACTAAACGTTTTACTACTTTAACAAACACACAGACTACTGTAACTCTTACAACACGGTCTAGAACTACACCAACAAGATACACTGTTAAGCCTACAACACAATCTGGAATTATAACTTTAGGTCCTGATCCTGGACCAGAGCCTAAACCTGACCCGACACCGTACTCTACGCTAATATCTACTACCTCTACTATGCTTAGTACAACTACTACAGTAATACCAACTACGGTTACTACAGTACCTAGTACTACTACTATTACTACTCCGAGTACAACAACTACTGTACTATCTACTACTACTGGTATTCCTACTACTGTGACTACTGCAACTGCTACTACACCCACCACTACTCTTACTACCACTACTACTCCGAGTACAACAACTACTTTACTATCTACTACTACTACTATTACTACTATTACTACTACTCCTACTACTACTACTACTACTACTAATACACCAAGCACAACAACTACCGTACTATCTACTACCACTTCCACTGCTATTACAACAACTCAAACTACAAATTCTACAGTAACTTCATCAACTTCAACTACAGTAAATTCTACCATCTTTTCTACTTTTGATACTGTAACACCAACAACGCAAAACTTTACAGACTTTACTTCTTATAGTACAACCGCTTCTAACGTTACATCATTTACAATACCAACGAATTTTACTGATTTTACATCGTATTTCACAAGTAATGACTCTACTTTTTTTACTAATTTTACTGATTCCGTAGATGTAACAACATTTTTGTAATAAAAAACATTATTTTTTATTTTTTGAATAAATTTTAATTATTTGTTATGTTTTTTAAATATTTTTTTGTTAAATTTTTATTTTAAATGATTAAAATTAAATCTGTTAGTTATCTACACAGGCTTTTGACTACTTCTTGTCTTTTCCGTCTTTTCTCACGGATTCTTCAAATTCAAATTTTCATTTTCAAATTTAAAAAATTTTTTTGATTTTTTGAAAAATAAAAAAACTTGAAAATTTGAACTTTGCGTTTTTACTTCATTAGTAGACATATGTAACAATAATTTCAACATCTTACTTAAGGTCATTTGTAATATTGCAAATGAATGGGAAGAGCTAATTGCACAAAGACTATGGCAAATCGGTTGCTTGGCCTACAAAGGCTTTCGACTACAACGTAAAGTCTTGAGAAGCATCTCATCACGACTCGGTAGTTTGAGAAACAAAATCATCTAGCCAAAACCCAATTGAGGACAGCTCCAATGGATTGCTCTGACAGTCTTCACCAAACCCTCACCATCTTTTTCTCTTGTCTCAGTCTTTATATCTTGCGCTGAAAAAAAGAATGAGTTTTTTGAAATGACATTGTAATCTTCGTATTAAGAATGCTTGGCACAAATTACACTTTCAAATTTAATTACAGTTTCAAAAATAAACAAAACGCAGTTTTTGGCTACCATTATACCTAGTAATTTAGTTTACAACTAATTAAAATTTCGTTAAATTTAAAAAAGTTAATAGAATTCAAACGTTAAAATCGTAGTAATTACATATATGTTCAGTTACCTGGTATAGTATACTCTAATACCATAGTTTTGATGACAATGTGTGTGCCCAATACGTATAGTCTGAACAAATGTGAGACCATTACGTGTTTAGTGTTTTTTTTGAGCTTAATTTACTGTTATTAGTGATAAGAGCTTTTTTATTTTAAAAAACTAAAAATTAAAACACTAGTAATACGGTAGGTCTATTGTAACTCATGAAAGCTTTAAAAATGAAATATATTTTACTTTGTTGATTCGTCTCATAATCAAAGCAATTATTTTTGTTTATACTATGTAGTACAACCGACTTAATAATTTGACATTTGTAAGTTTACACAATGTTACAATCCCTTACTTCATTAGTAGAACGTTCTAATGAGGCCTTTGTCTGAATTACTGTTATAATACCTGATGACTTTTATACCGTAGGAGTGATAAATAAGCTCTGCAGCACCGACACGGCCTAGACAGGCTCTGCAACCGGTTCGCGCTGGCCTCGAGCTAATGTTGAAAAGAGCCAGGCTTAAAATTTGGGCCCGGTTCGCGGGCTGGGATTGAAAAAGTTGGCTCTGGTCTAACCTTTTTTTGTAAAATTTTTCATGTTTGGTAGTCTCTTTTTTTCGTGTTTGGTAGTATTTTTTTTATTTTTTTTTTTGCCAAACCGGCCCAAAAACCTGCAGACCCGGACCGAAGGAAAGCCCCACATTGGCTCAAACTTTTTTTTTTAAATTTTAATAAAACTATTTTAAAAACCGCAATTAAAATATATTTTTAAGAGTTTTTCAGCAAAAAAGAAGTTTTCTTGCTTTTTAAAAATAAAAAAATAAATTTTGCGGACCGGACCGGACAGGATTCAAAAATTTTGGGTTTAGACCAGACGGGACCCAAAAATTTGATATTTGGACCGGATCGGACTCGAAAATCGCTAGAGCAAACCCGTGGAAAACGTTCCGGACCGGTTTTGACAAAACATTGGTTAGACCAAGCCTAGAATTTTTTGAACGATCACGGGACGGTCTGGGAAAAAACGTAAGCGGGTCAGTCCCAAAAGTTGGGCACAGGGGCTGAGCCGGACTTTAAAATTAGATCCGGCTCGGACCGTTTTTCACCCTTAAAAAGGCCTTTGTAATCTACTGTAATTTTACTTGACTTTAATAATATATATTTTACTTTTTACTACACTACTTTGATTTACATAATAAAATCGTATTCTTTCAATGTTCATACCGTTCCAACTTGCTCGTTCGTTCTTATCACCGTCTTGTGCAATATCCGGTGAAATTACTGTTTATTTGATTAGAATTGATACTTTTTGTTTGTTTTCTCAACTGATAAGAGCTTATGTTGATGGTAAGAGGCGATATTTTGACATACGTAAACTTGACCAGGTTTCCGGTTATTTGTTTATTCTTCGACTTCATGACGTTATATGACAGTATATAAGGTGGGTAAGAGCATTAAACTGCATCATTGAGATACAGCTTACTGTATTTTAGTGTGATACTTCTTACTGTACTTGGTAAACGACCGTATTTCTACGTAAGCTGCATTAATTCAACGTATAGTAGCTTGTCCTGCTATCTTTTATAGTACTAAGCATACCTTGATTTCGTACTAAAAAATATATTAACTATATTATTATACAATGCGTTTTATACTGTTATTGCTAGTGTTGACTAGCCTCTATTGTATGGTCAGTAGTGAACTGAGCGACGAAGTTTACTCTGATAAAAGCTACGACAATGAACACGCTGATGTACATGTAGATAATGCTGAGGCTAAAACCAGTGATCGTCCAGACCCGACATCTGACCCTACTAAGCCTACTGGGAAGCCTACGACTCGCCATCCTAGGCCAACTCACAAGCCTAGGACTCACCGTCCTTGGCCAACCCATAAGCCTACGGAAGGACCTTTTAAGCCTACCGGTCATCATACTAAGCCTACCGGTCATCATACTAAGCCTACCCACGAGACTACCAAACACGATCATACCAAGACCACTCGTCCTCATAAAAGCTCTACTGTAACACCAATTACAAGCCGAACCATTTTTGCTGAGAATTTGGAAAAGCGTACTTCTGAATCTTCTCATAGGCCTACAACAGATGGTTTTACTCACCGAACCCACACTAGACATTACCCTACTAGACCTACTCATAACCCTACTGAAGATCCGTTTAAACCAACTCATAAGCCTACTACTGATCCTACTAAGCCAACTCGTAAGCCCAGAACTCATCGTCCATGGCCTACTCATAAGCCTACTGAAGACCCATTTAAGCCTACGCATAAGCCTACTACTGATCCCACCAAGCCAACTCGTAAGCCTATAACCCACCGTCCATGGCCTACTCATAAGCCTACTGAAGACCCACTGTTACCCACACATAAGCCTACCAAACGCCACCATACCAAAACCACCCGCCATCATGAGCGCTCAACTACTGTAACTCCTCGTTCTTCTACCCATTTCAAGCCTATTACTGGTCGTGAATAATTTTAACTCAATAATTATATTTCTTACTTTGTACCCTTATTTATTTATTAATGACGTTTATAATGGTATTTTTAATCAATAAATCATTTTATTTATATTGCAGTGAGGTTATTTAAATTTGTGAGCTATGGCTAGACTTGGAGCAGGGCATTGGATAGGAAATGAACTTCAGTACAAGAGCGAAACATGCTTTAGATACTAGTCTATACAGCCCAAAACTTTAAAGTAAAGTTTCTTTTCTTGGCGAAGGGAATAACTATTTATAAAGATGTTTTTTTCACACTTCAAGTCAAAAGAGAGAAGAGGCTACTTTATGCAAATTTGGAAAAACTTAAACTTATCTTACATACAAGGCAAGAGCAAGACAGGACATACTCAATGCTCTGTTTTATTAACAAAGAAAGTTTTGTAAATGAAGCGACAAGCGGCTGTTTTTCTATAATAAAATTTTGATAAAGCAATAAAACTTAAAACTGATCTATAGATCAAGATCAATTTGATCGATACGGTTTATTATAGCAAAAACCTTCTAAATTATTTTTGTAAACTAAAGTTTTGTTTAGTGGCTAACGAGATTTTTTTAAAATTAGATACCACGGACCATAAATCGTTCGCCCCCACTTTGTCTCTCGATTTGGCAATGATTTTTTTCGCGCCAAAAATCACTGAATAAATGAAGTCATTTATCCTGAAAAGTAAGCTCAAAACAAAAAACATTTTCTTTTTAATTGCCGTTAACTTTTTTTGATTTTTTTAGAGTATCACAATCAATAAATGATCTAAAGAAAAAAATGCAAAGCCAAATTTGCGTCTTACTCTTAAAATTTTAAATTTTCTAAAAGTGCCGGGTCAGATTGGGTCTGAAAATATTTTTTTCTTAGGACGGCTTAATACGAAATGCAAACGAACCTGGCTTAAGAGATGGTCCCAGACCTGGACCAGACGTTGAAAGGAAGTCTGGCCTTAAAAGTGAACCGAGCCTTAAAAGTGTGTTTCGTCTTAAAAGTGGGCCCGGGCCGTTTCTCGCCTTTACTTGGAAGTAACTGAAAGTTGCTAATTAATGTTTATGTCTTTTCAATTACTACTAACAATTTTTGTACTTTTGTAAATTTTTTCGTAGCTTACAAAATCTATTCACAGTATTTCAAGTATGTGCTATATTCAAGTGTACCACACAAACGTTGAAAAAGCAATTATTGCACACTCGCTGGTAAATGTAATGATTGCACTATCCAAACAATTATCGTACTAGATATTAAAACTATTTAAATAAAAGTACTATGATTATACAAGTGTCTGTGTTAGCACAGTAAAATTTATTATTTTACAGTAAATTCCAAGGACAAGAGTGTATTTATATAGTATTTAATTAACTGAATTTTGTAATACTTTCAGTAAATTGTTTTTTTTGTTTGTAGTACACATTGAAATTGCGCTAAACTGTAAACGTCAAAGTGTAATTTAAAATTTAGTATAAAACCAAAGGTAAAGCAGTGAAATCATTTTATTTATTGCTATTTTTAATATGATATTTGAGCTATTATATTGAAAAGTAAGTTCTTTGCTACAGTCAAACCTCTTTAGTATGACAGTTAAGGGGTTGATTCAAACCTGACTTTATAACCAGGGTGTCACACTACCCAGGTACTTTTTGATAGGTGCTCTATTAAAAAAGGCGGTCAGCAAGCTGTCCTTATAAAGAAAATGTAGCACTATTAAGGGACATACTAAAGAAATTTTACAGTATAAGGTTTAAAAGGTAGGTGGTTCTTTATCAGAAAAGTTAAGAAGAATGTCACATTACTTCAGGTGAACGACATACATTTAATTTACATGCCATTTGCAATGTTGACAAATCAATAGATTGTTAAACTATTACAATGTTGACACTTTACACTGTACAAATAAATTAGTTTTGGGACAACTATAATAGATGTAACATTAAAGCTTTTTGTTTTCATTGTTTGGACATTAGTGTAGGTTTGGTTTGTGAAAAGAATGATTGCTGAACATCAGTGTAGGCTTGGGTTTTGAAAGGTTATTTGACAAAATGATAACTTTATTATATACTGTAGAAAAAATTTGACATGCTGTAACTTTTTCTCGGAATAGATCTGCCAACTAATAGTAATAATAATAATAATTAGCTGACCCTACGCGTCGTTTCCAAGCTTTTTTGAGTTTTATTTGAGTTTATGTCAAAACTTACTTTTACCTTGCTATAGTCTTATATTTTATCTAAGACTAGTCATGAGTCTGTTGGTCGTGCCGCTGACCAATAAACCACCGGACCGCTTTGCCCGGTCCAGTCGCACTTAGCACTTCTTATCAGTGTGAAAGAGAGAGAGAGCTAATTGTACGGGAACTATGACAAATCGGTTGCTTAGCTTACAAAGGCTTTCAACTACGACTAAAGGCTTGAGTAGCTGTTCATCACAACTTGGTAATTCGTGAAACAGGATCATTTGGATGAGATTTACTTTGGAAGGGTTACTGTAGATTGCTCTGACAGCCTTCACCAAACCCTCATCATTTCCTCGTACGTTTCACTCTATATATGTTGCGTTGCAAAAAGGGAATAATTGTGTTATTTTTGCTTGCTCTTGTTATACCACAAATAACATCGTAAAGTGGCGTTTTTTGTAATATCTTTATATCTTTTTTGTAAATGTATTTGTTGCCACAATTTATAATTCTCTGTAATATACTAATGTTAATTAAGGTAGCTTCTACTTAATTTTGTGTACAGTATCTTTTATGATGTCTGATACAAAACTTTGGCATTTAATTATCGACAATTAAGCTGTTTTTATAACAATAACGACTGCCTCCATTCTGTCAATGCTAATCAGTATATGACTACTTAACTTTTAAGGCTATGACATTTGTCTGATAAAGTGACATTTGTATCTCACAGTGACATTTGTACTTAAAAGCGACATTTGTACCTAAAAGTGACATTTCCAATTACAACTTACTTTGGAATCCTGTATCTCACCCAGCTTGGATGTACTTTTGTAAACAGTACCGCCCCGGATGGTAGCTGGGATTGGTTCCTGGTTTGTACTTTAAATTGTCTATCTCGCTAGGTGGTCTTGGCTCGCCCGCTATAATATAAAATAAAAATTGTTTTAAGAAGGTCACATTTGGAATGTTCACATTCCAAACAATAACACGCGATGCGGTAATTGCTTGTTTTCACTGACATAAGAAAGTTGTTTGAACATTTGGTTTTAGACTTTGAGTACTGTATGAGGGGAGATAGGGTTTTTACGTAATCGTCTGGAAAGTTATAATACTTGTACAGTGAAACACCTTTATAGAGTTTTAAATAGTAGTGGTAGATGAGGATTTAAAAATTGTTTGTTATACGTGAGTTCTACTGTATATATTGTTGTAAAAATACTTTAAACTATTATATTAAGTTATAGTAAGCTGTTAAGAACCAAGGAAATTTAAAAAAAGTTTTTGAGCTTTTTTTGCGATTGTTAGACGTACTGTAATATACTACAAATAATTTTATGTAGTATGTTACAGTACTAAACTTTTTTGTTTTGCTTCCCTTGGGCATTTATATAAAGCCTGTCCTTTTTCTCTCTAGACTAAACCTGTAATGAGGCCAGGGCAGACTCAACTTTTTGGCTTAAGCCAAGAATAGTGATGAGAAACCTGTTAAGCCGGGCCCACTTTTGAGAGGCGGGCCAACGCTCAACGTTTAAGCCCGGACTGTGTTTATTTTTTCTCATTTTTTAATTTTTTTGAGTTTGTGCTTACTTTCGAGCTCGGCTCGTTTTCACCTTACAATTGTTTTTTTAGCTTTAGATGGTCCGTTCCTTACCTCTATTCAAAAGATGGTCTTCAATTTGGACCCCGACTTCCGGGCCCACCAAGTGTACCGGCACCCCCTTTGCTAGTCTACTTTAACCAAATTGCCGAGTCGTGCTTAACTTTTGAAAAGGGCGGTTTATAATTTTTCTTAGAAGGAAAGTGTCAAAAGGTGTACCTTTTTAAACCCTTGTTAGACCCAGTGTCTTATGTCTACTTTTTTTTATTACACTCAGTACAACTAATCAGCACTAAATAATTATGTCTCATTATATCATGCATTTTTACTGTAACTTTTTATAAAAACATATAATTAAAAAGATCCGGAAACGTGTTTCCAACGTGTTATGTTATAATTTACAACTGTGTAATACAAATTATACATGGGTGGTTAATTATAAAATTTACTGTCATTTATTTTTTCGTTCTCATTTTATAAAAACGTTTTAATTAACTTTTAATTTGAATAGTAGGGTAACATAATTTTGTAATTTTAAAATTAAAAAAATTTGTACAATTGTATTTTACATCAACGAGAATTGTTTGCGTAAGCATCATATATATTGTGTTTACTGTAGTAAGTGGTTTTTGTTAATTATTGCTTTACTTGTACGTACTAAGTTGTTCAAATAATACTGTGCTCTATCTTAAAGGAAGTGTTCTCAGTGAGCAGCACATAATTATTTGAACAACCTAATACAATATATAATCAATTTATATTTTGTATATATATATAATACTACTTAAAATAGAAAGTTTTTGCAACTATCATGGTGTACTTTCAAAAACATTGAACTTTTGGCAGTTGACTTTACAGGCAGTAATTAAATAAGACTAGGTGGCCTATTAGTTAATAACAAGTTATGAAACTTTTTGGCAAAACATATCAAATCAATTTCTAATTATATCAACTTTTTGCCATTCTATGGAAGTATATTTTGTTACACGAGGTAAATCAACTGATATTCTTATACTTTCTGTATTTTTTAAAGTAATTGTATAATCGTACAGTAGAACTTCTTTATAACGACGACTCGTAGGAAGATATACTTTTAAATCCTTGACTGTCGTTATGCGGTGAATCTGTATACCAAAATTTTTAGATCATTTATTGATTGTGTTACCTAAAAACAGCGAAAAAAGTTTTAAAGAAAAATTTAGTTTTTTTAATTTTTTTTTGAGTTGATAAAAACCATACTTTGTAATATTTATAACATTTTTTTAATTTGCATTTTTTTGGCTAATTTGGTCATTTACTCATTCGCTATAAGTGTGCCACCATGTCTGTTATTAGAATACATTTTGAGAATTGCATTTATAAGGGCAAACGTCATCCAACTTACTTAGGTATACTCTATTATTGTGACATTTGCTGTCAGTCATCGAAATACATATAGGTCTTTCACTTTTTCAATGATATTTTTTATAGCTTATGATCTGTTTTTAATTTTAAAGCTGCAAAAAATTTATTTTTTGATTTTTGCCTTGTATATGTTTGGCGTGCTCTACCGTTTTCTTTTTAAAAGTTCTTGTTTCGGCTTTAGCTCTGAAGCCAGGGCTACTTCGGAGTCGGTTTTGGAGCCTTTAGGAGCCCTGGATTTTTTTTGTTTTTTAATGTTTTTTAAATATTTTAGCCTCGTAACACCAAACTACTCTAAATTGATTATAGATGATAATCACTCACACAGTCGACATAGAAGTAAAACCTCGTGCTACAGCTCAAAATCCGTACGCTTGGGATGTGCCAGAAGAGGATGGTGTATTTCGACCCGAAAATCACAATGGACAGCCGGTTATCAAGAAGATAATCGAGTACCTATACTTTACCAGTGGGGTCAGTGGTGGTATACTGTGCTTCGTTCTATTGTATGTGGTGTTGACACAATCGAAAGGACCTTTGAAACATTACAGTCGGATGTTGTTGTTGTGCTGCTCGTCCGACATTGGCTTCTGGTTCTGTGATTATACTGTGCAAGTGGTAAGTGGGTAGTAAATGTGTGGATCGGTTAATGGGTACAGTAATAAAGATTTTTGAAATTTATGTCCAAAAATCTAATTTTCGTTTCAAAAATCTTTCAAAACTACATTGAAACAGTGTAAAAAGCCATACATCGCTTAATAAATTGCACTTTTAAAACCAATATCCGCTTGTTCAAAAAATTCTGAGCTCGGAGACCCCGAAAATTTGCTTGAAAGGTAGCACAGACTTTTTAAAACAACAATTTGTCATTTTAAAACTTTTCGAAATTTGAAGACTTTTGACGATTGTCAATGTAATCAAGAGCAATTACAGAATCACGCTCATGCGTTTGGCTGTTATTGTGTCATTCACCTACAAAAATACAATGTGAAATTCTTGATTACTGTACATTTTCGTACGTTATTACAATTGCTATCTCAAGTACTTAAAAAGCACAAATAAACTTTTCGTTTTGAAAGTGCATTTAAACCACGTTGAAATTCTTAATATGTTTAAAATTGTAGCTTACGATATAAAATTTTTAATGAATTTTAAAGACCAATTTAATTGCAAATTGCCAAAGGCGTTCAAAAATAATATTGATTTTTGGCGGCAAAATTGGGATTTAAATTATTATTTGTTTGAAAACCATTATGAAATTTCATTTTCTGCTCTGTACCCCTATTTTTTACTGAAAAATTAATTTTTGACAATAAAAGCTTACAAAATGGAAGGTTGAATCAAAACGTCAACAATTTTCAAATTTGGCGCCAAAATCAAAATTTAAAGCTTAAAGGAAAGTAGCCAACCTGCTCTGCTTAGAATCAGTTTAAAAGTTTTACATGATTTCCTTGTACAACCAATAGTACCCATAAAGAAAATTTAGCTCACGCTTTTGAGTTTATAAAGTTAAATATTTGGACTTCTTGCCAATTTGGCGTTGTGTTTTAAGCACTTTTTGATTTTCCAGACAAGCTAAGCTGACAAGTTTAAAAATATATAGGTCCATTTGAAGATTTTTACTAGAATAGCAAAGATAGATGATTAAAAGTCAAAAAATAACAAAGTTATAGGCTTGAAACACAATGCCAATTCGGCGAGAAACTCAAATCTTATTTTTTGATCTCGATTTTCTCGACGTTGGCTAGAAAACGCAATTTTGTACTTTTCAGAAAGTCTTATATTTACATGTTGTTATATATAAAAAGTTTTATGTCAATCAGAGCGGAATGCCAAATATGGCGCCGAAACTAAATTTAAAAATATTTTTTTAAAATAGTTTTTTTAAATAGCTAGTATTTTTCTATTTTAGAGGTCAAAACTAACTGAAGGAGTGTTCATACTGACCTTTGAAGGTCCAGCCAAGTACCTGCCCTATGACTTTCAAATTCATGCCATGTGTTGGTATGTGTGTCATCTTACTCTCATGCACACGATCATTCCAGCACAGTATTTCTATCGGTACTACAGTGTTTCGAGGTAAGTAAAAAGGTCTTTGGAGTTGGTTTTTTTCAAAATATTAATTTTGTAGGGTTATTACTTATGTTGTGGTATATTATACTATCAACCATTGGTGACACAGTAAAATATATTAGGTTGTTCAATTAATTCTGTGCCTCCTCAAGTTTGTTCAAAAAATCTCTTCACAAAGCAAATTGTTGGGGCTAGAGGGCACAGAATTATTTGAACAGCTTAATATAATATATTTTTATACCCGTTTACTACATCTCATCTTACTGTAGTAGAATGAAAATCAAAATTAGTAAAACCACTCCCATTGACACCTATTTTACTTTTAGATCAATGCCAATGTCTAAAAAACAAACCATGGGATTGTATATTGTGTCTATGGTGGCTACAATCCCTATGTATTACATATGTTACCAAGCCTATCGATACTCTGGTAGTGTCAAACCTGGTGTGAATTATGCGAAATACTTCTACGATGAACAACCTATACCACCACTAATTGTTGGCGATGTGGTAGGTTACTCTAACGTTAAAATGTTCACGATACTGTACTTTAAAGTACTCTACCCTACCCTACCCTACCCTACCCTACCCTACCCTACCCTACCCTACCCTACCTTACCCTACCCTACCCTACCCTACTCTACTCTACCCTATCTTACCATAACCTGCCCTATCATATACAATATCAAATTACTGGCTATGTATTTTACAACAACAATATCACGTATTTACTATAACTATTATACTATTTTCAGGATGACATTCAAATGAAACTCTACTTCATAGCCTCGATTATAGTAGTTGGTGGTTGTTACGTATTAACCTTATTCTTGGCTCTAATTACATTGAAAAAGCTAGATATCAACAACAGTAAATACACGACAAAGACAAAGGAAATGCAACATCAATTGACATTGGTACTGCTGTTTCAGGTAGGTTAACATACATTAGGTTGTCCAAATATAGACAAACTAAAATTTTTAAAGTTTTGCGTTTTGAATGGCTCATCCATACTTGGACAACCTGGTATTATGTCAATATATTGGATTGTTCAGATAACTCTGTGCTCCTAACTCCAAGAACTTGCTTTGAAAGAGAGCACAGAATTATTTGGACGACCAAGTCTATATATAACAAGGGCATACCTTTTTACATTGTCATTTCGAATTATATATCTCCATTCCTATAAAATACCCTAAACACCCCCCATAATATACCCTAACCACGCCCATAAAATGCTCTAACCAACTCCAACTTCAGACGATCCTACCAGTCTTCACATCAGTAGCACCGATACTAGCCATCTGTGTACCATGCTTCTTGTACATCTCCACCGGCCCTTCAGCCGGCATCTTTTTGGCCATAGTATCGTGGGTACCCGTACTCAACCCTCTCTTAACTATCATTGTAATAGCCCCATATCGACGGTTCGTTGTTAACATATTCAACCGTACCAAGGTCAACATCACCTCAAACAACTCGGACAGTCAAACTAACCTTTACATCAAGGGCGTTTCATTGCCTGCGGGTATTAATAGTAGATAATATAATATATTGTTTGCTTAGTTTACTGTGGTACACTGTAGTACATCGTACCCAGTACCCATAAAAAAATTTAGCTAGCGCTTTTCAGTTTAAATTTTAAACGTTTGAGTTTCCCGGCAATACGGCAAATTTAGCATTGTGTTTCAAGCACTTTTTTCGACTTTCCAGACAAGCCGGGCTTATAAATATAAAATTGTAAGCCCATTTAAAGGTGTTTTACTAGTATTCCAAAGTAAAAATGGTTAAAAGTAAAAAAGTTACAAAATTATAAGCTTGAAACACAATGCCAATTTGGCGGGAAATTCAAAACGTAATTTTTGAACTCGATTTTCTTGAGATTGACTGAAAGGCAAAATTTAATGCTTTGCTGAATATCTTATATTGACATGATTTTTCAAGTTTGAAAACAATCAGAGCGGAGCAAGTCCGGTACTTTCCTCGTAAATGTTTTTGGACCATGGTTTTACCTATTTTTTGGTTTTAGTACCAATTACAATTGTATATAAAAAGTTAATGATCATTTTTTTTGTGTATAATAATGTCATTCTTTTACCTTCTATAACGTATTTACTATTAATATTGTAACTTATTATGTATTTATTGAAAACTTAACTTCTTATACCTACTGCGCAATAAATTAGCTTTAACAAGATAAAGATATACATACGTAGATTCATTCACATCAGTTTGTAATAAACACACTTGTTATATTAGGTTGTTCATTTAATTCTGTGCCCCTACCCCCAAAAGTTGCTAGACGAGGCACATAATTATTTTAAAAACCTAATAGTTAATATTTAATGTAAAATACGTTCCTTCTCGTCCAGTCATTGACAAAGTCATATTTATTTTAAAGTTAATATTATTATTACGAATCATGTGCAATATATTGCTGATAAAACTCATGTTGAGGTTAAGAAAAGGGGTTAAAAGTAATGTACAATACAACTACAGTAATAACATTTGTAAACATGTCAACAAGAAACGTCATTTTAATATAAACTAGTCGTTTTGAACTATTTTTTGATTAAAGTCACGCTAGTTTATAGTAACTAGACCTAGAGAAGATATTACAATACATGTCATTTAATACACAGTAAAAACTTTGGCTGTATACGACATTTTTTTGATTAAAGCTCGTATTTTAAATGAAAAAAGTTCAAAGCTTTGTTACCTAAAATTTGAAAATTAAGAAAAACATCACTTTGTTACCTAAAATTCCCAAAAACACCATTTTAATACCTAATATTAACCAAAAGTTTTATTTTCTTACCTAAAGTACTAAAAGAGCAAAAAAACCTCATTTTTTACCTAAAAATTGAAAAATGCCCTAATACCAAGGCTTTTACCGTGAATAACATCCAGTATGAAGAAGTTCGGCAGAGATAAGAAATTGGAATATGAATTTGAAATTTTAAAAAGTCATTTAACAACCCGATTAAAGCCGTATAAGTTTCCTGTGTTTCACCATGCGGTAATTCTTGAGATACCATTGAAAATACACCGTACTCACAACCATTTCATTTGATTCTGAAATAAAAAAATTTTAAAATACGAGTTAGATACTTGTCAATTTTTAAAAATATCTCAGTGCCTTCCCCCCCCCCCCCCTATACACTCACAAAATCAGATTTTAAGCCCAACCTTTACATTTTGAACCTATAAAAAAGCCAAACTTAAGCACCCCTCTATAAAACCACAAAAAACTTTATATAATATCATATCTAACATGTGACTTACTTGCTAACAAACTCCTGTAACGCTTGTGTCTGTCCCAACTGCATGGGCTCTTCCATGGGTGGGCATTCCACTTCAGTTTGACCTCTTACAAACACTTTATGAATAATGTGCCAGTAGCGATGGCCGTAAACACAAGCCAGGTTGTTGTTCATGAAGCGTTGATGGACGCCGTCGATCTCTCGACCCATGTAGACACGATGGTAGCAGTAAAAGTAGACAAAGTCTAGGGTTTGGAAGTGTCGCTGAAAGTGATATTGTTATAGTCAGAGAATGTATATACTTTTATAGCCAAAGACAGTAAATATTTTAATAGCCAGAGAAGGCACGTAAAGAGCCGATAGTAACGAAACCTTTCTATAACCAACATAAAATGTCGGTCCCTGAGTTTCGCCTATAGTAATGTAGTATACCCTGAACCCACCACACCACCATATGTACCAATTTTTAAAATACGAACCAATAAAACGAAAAAAAACTCACTTTTTTCATGCCTTCGTACTCCCTGCCAGCACAAACCACATGTATTTGAACGTTGAATGGGCAGTGAAACGATGAGTTTAATAATGGTAGAATTTGAAAGTCACGGAACGCTGTGTACGCTGTTCCGTACTTCTTGATCATTTTTGATACAGCAGCCCAGGACCATAAGTTGTCGCCCTGAAATTGATTTTTAAATTATTTTTTGAAATTTTAGGTAAAATCTACCTCTTAATGCATAATTTCATTTTTACTATAACTTACTATACCACCCTACCTTAAATTACTCTACCATACATTAAACTTACCGTATTTTACCTTACCTTACTCTACCACACTCTATCGTACCCTACTCTAGCTTAACTTGCTCTACTATACTCTGAACATACCTTACCCGACCTTGCCTGACGCTACCATATTCTAACTTATCTTACTCTACCATACCCTAAACTTACTTTACTCTAGCTTACCTTACTCTAGTATACTCTAACTTACCCTACTTTACCATGCCTTAAACTTATCTTACTCTATCATACCCTACCTTACCATATTTTAGCCTACCCCAAACTTACTTTACGCTACCTTACCTTACTCCACCATACTCTAAACATACCTTTCTCTACCCTACTCTACACTACCCAACCATACCTTGCCTTATTTTATCATACGCTGAAGTACCCTACGTTTAAGTTAACCCGCCTTACCTAACTCTACCATACCCTAACCTACCTTACTCAACCATACCCTATCTTACCTTACTCTACCATACTCTAACTGTTCTTACTCTACCGTAAACTTGCCTTACCCTACCATATCATATTTTACTCTACCTTAACTTACCTTAAATTACCCTACCATACTCTAGATTACCCTCCCACAATTAAACCGCTTTGTCTTACCGTACAGTAAAGTCTACTTCTATATTGTCTTCCTTAATGAAAAATGTCAACATTATAAAAACTCCAAATAAAACAGAAAAATTAAAAACTGCCAATATAAACCTACACTATTCATTTTAAAGTCGGCAGGGTCATAAAACTCAGCAAAGTTGTTCCAATTCAACTCGGTTCCAATAACCGAGAACAACCTGAATATACTCGACTCGGTGCTATTCCTCACAGCCTTGATGAACGATGGGAAGATGTCGCCAAAGTACTCGGGACATCGGCTGACATCTATCACAACCTCGACCAAATCCTTATATTGCACATCCTTCGGAATCAGTCGATCTGCCGGAATGTTAAAATGCTCTGATAGGATGATACGTAACTTGCGCGTTCGAAGATACGGTGCTATTTGGAGCCATCGGCGGACTTCTGAAATTAGGTTGCATTAGTGTGATAAAGTCTCGTTATGCACAGTGAACTTTAATTATATACAGTAACTCTCGTCACATACAATAAACACTCCCTATATACAGTAAAATGTCATTATATACAAGAATCTCTGGTTTTATATAGTAAACTCTACATATTTACAGTACGTTATCATTGTATACTGTAAACTATAATTATATACAGTAAACTCTGATTATACATAGTAAGCTCTCGCTATATTCAGTAAAGCCTCGTTATGTACAGTAAACTCTAATTATACATGATAAACTACCGTTATATACAGTAAACTTTCATCATATACAGTAAACTCTAATTATACACAGTAAACACTGGCTATATACAGAAAATTCTTGTTAAATGCTGTAAAATATGACTATAAGCCAAGTATAATATTACAGAACAAGACCTACCATCTTCGCCAGCCAATGTTACCACAAACTCATCGTAGTCACGACATAACAAGTAGTTGTATATGTTTTGAAAGAACATTTCATTCGACCGAAGATTGCCAATCCATAGCCGTTTTAGCCTTGGCATTCGTGACAAGTTCAATATCGTTTGAATCGAGCAACAGTAGTAGGTGTCCAGGATTGATACTGAAATAAAGTCAAGTTTTTGGCCAAATTTTAGTTTTTAAAATTCAAAAATTCCACAAAAATTCAGATTTCGTTCCATTTCCACCTTTTCAAGATCAAAAAGTCATTTTAAAAATTCATTTCATTCTGATTTGACTAGAGTTTCGGTGACCGTCGTTCCGATCAAAACGTGTTCAAGATGGCGGACGTGCCAGAATTGATGCACAATGTTTGCGGAACGTTCAGTAATCAGTACATGATCACAGAGCCGGCTGACGACCCACTGAAGCGCGACTATGTTGTCTACAACGCCTACGACTACTACAAGCCCGGAGAGGTAAGACTGAGTGTTTTTTGTGTTTTGTGGTAGTTTTTTACATTGACCAAGCTATTTGTTTGTATTAGGTAATAAAGTTTTAGCATTTTGTGCTTTGTAAAGAAAGTTCTTGCCATTTTGTGCTTTGTAAAGAAAGTTCTTGCCATTTTGTGCTTTGTAAAGAAAGTTCTTGCCATTTTTTAACGAGTTAAAGTTACAAATAATTTTTTAAACTTACAGCATCAGAACCGTACCCTATTTTTCTAAATTTTCTCAAAATTTTCAGACCACGCAGATCTACATGGCCAGTTTGGAGGCCGCTAAATGGCGATGGGGCAGTTCGATGGCCGCGACACAGGCAGTTCACGAAGCCATAAACAGGAAAAGCTCTCATTTGCCACATTTGGTCAAGTTTGGTCGGATCAAGCGGGTAGTCAATTGATCAAAAACAAAAATTTTTTTTTCGAAAATCAAAAATTTTACCAAAAATTAACTTTTTTTTTAAATTGCGATTTTTTGCACTTTAAAACCAATACTAATTTCAAAAATTTAGCTGGTATTTGGCGCTGATGGTGTTCAAGATGTGGAGAACGATCCAGAAAGTTTCCGGTTTTACCTCGTCTTCCAGACCACGATGAACCACGCTTTGCTGTCGACGTTGTTGCCGTATTCGCCTACTGGGTAAGATATCTTTTACTCTACATTATTATCAGAGCTTAAGTATTCATTTGGTTAAGTCCAGTTCTTGATTTGGCTAGGTTTAGTTACTCATTTGGCTAAGGTTTAGGGTGAATATGTTACCTAAACCCTTTATACATTTTTTCAGCACCCTGCCGGTAGAATTGGCCATGTACGTTGGAATCGGAATCACCCGTGCGTTAGGAGCAATTTACAACGCCGGCTTCATCCACCGCCTCGTATCACCACACAGCTTTTCCTACTACGTGCCTCCGACCCTGTACCTGCTGACCAATCGAATGCTCATCACCGATCTCAGTCTGTCTATGCCGTTTCCACGAAAGTGAGTTTTACATTATAGTGACTACTATTAGATACAGTAGTTTATGATAAAACTGCAGCTATACTATAGAATTTTCACTATAGCACTTACTATATAGAATTTCGTATTATGGCTCTGTATTGCCATTTTGAATGATTTACATGCCGTTTCTGATCATATTACACTACCCTTTCCTTTCAGGCCCCGCCCATCCGTCGCCTTTGTCGGCACGATGCGCTACAGTGCCCTCTCAGTGCACCATTGCCGTGAACAAGGCCCCAGCACGGACATTATCTCCCTGATCTACGTGATCGCCGAAATGATCAGTGGCAAGCTGCCGTGGCGTTCGCTGATGAACCCAAAGCACGTCAAGGAAGCCAAGACCGCCTTCCCCGAGAGCAAAGAGTTTCAGCGGCTGCCGAAAGAGGTCCGCATCCTCTACCGCGACATGATGGAGACCTACCCTCAGGCGCGGGTCGACCATGTCAAGATCCAACAGACCTTCAAGGACGTGCTGAACAGGAAAGACCCCAACAACAACTTTGAAATGCCGGCCTGGCTGATTCAGCCTTGCGAGGATTAGTTTGGTGCTGTTAGTGTCGGAAAATGAAAATGGTGCTATTTTGCTCTTGGTGCTTGAAGATGAGATTCGGTGCTATTGTGTTGATTTTATGGGTTTGAGGGTGTTGTGTTAGCTTTGTGGTGTTTGTACAACATTTCGCGAATAAATACTGATTATCAACTGGATTGTGACCCTTTTTTACCTTATCACTATTTTTTTGACTTGATTGTTACGTTGTTGACAATTTTTTTAGAAATTATTGTAGTTATCGACCTGCTTTTGGCATTTTTTCAATAGTATTAACGCCTCAAAAGGTCTTGTCGCTTTTTCAAGTACAACTACATGTAAAATAACGACAAGACTTTTCTGACTCCATTATAAATTTCAAGAACTTACAATCAAGTCCATCAAAAGGTGGATGAGGCTTCTTAGCTCCATCGAATATTATTGATGGCTTCAATGGCAACAGTCCCAGATTCATATACGACACGACTTCTTTCGAAGGCACCAGAAAGTCCACATTGCCCCACTTGAGAATGATCAAATAACAATTGGCAGGATGAGTTGGTTCCCATGATACTCGACCAACAATATATCCGCAGTACCACAAGGCGTTGGTTTTTAGGTTACTATTGTGAACTGGAATTTTAAAAATTATTACCACTACCAAGGTAACCGTACCGTATTTTACAATCCAATATACCTAATTTTATAAATCGACCACAAGAATGTTAAATTGTACCCTAATATTAAAAATATTAAAATTTATATTAACTATATTAACGTATATTCTTATAAGTTGCAAAAACTTACATTCCATATGGTCTTCTCGTCGCAATGACTGCATAAACTTCCTCAAAACTTCGCGCCATCCGTAGTTTACTACCTGAAATCTAACTTCATTCAAATGACACACAATTATATCTTCTACACTTAAAATTTTAAATGAATATCCGTTATATTTATAACAACACTTGCTTTAATTTTCTGGAAAAACATCGCCTTTTAAAGTCTCATAACAACTCTTTTTACAAAAATAACATCAAGAGGTCAAGTGTTATATAAAAACAGCAAAATGCCTTAATAAACGTGTTCTATGCTAAGTTTTGTAATTTTAAATCAAAGAATAGATATTTGTAAGTACATATAAGTATCAAAAATCACCTTCCAACCACGTCTACCAACCTCATGCTAACAAGTTTCAGACAATAACATAAAAAGATCTTGGGTAATATAAAAAATACAAAATGCCTTTTTAAACGTGCTTTGTGCTAACTTTTGCAACTTTAAATCAAAGAATATATGTTTTCACTTATAACTATCTAAAATCAACTTACAACCACGTCTATCAACCTCATGCTAACAAGTTTTCAGACAATAACATCAAGAGATCATGTGTAATATTTTTCATTAGAAATCCCGCCAAACCTCACTTTCACCTACGATTTTTAATTCTCAACCAAATTCAATATATACACGATTAAAATTAACAAAAATTCCAATAATTTAAACTATAATAACATTCGAAATCCTCACCATTAAAGTGCACACATCCCTGCTGTTAATCGATCGATTCGCTTTCCACTTATCATTGAACTGATGGTAAATGAAAGGTAACGACTTGGATTCACTTCTGGATAACAAGAAATGGGCAAAGAAGTAGCCGAGAGAGTTGCCCTTTAACCGCCGTGGCGGAGGAATGTCCATCTCCATCTGCTCCATGATGGAATGCTGAAATTATATTATCCATGAGAAAAAATGTATTTTTAGATGAAATATTATCGCGGAGTAATGGAAATTGGATAAATAATGTTGTACAAAGCACGAGCTTTGATTTGAGTATAAAAATAATGTTTTAACACAAGAATATCAACGTGAAAACTCAATTTATCAGTGAAATACAGCATAAAATAAGGTAAAACGCTACTATAAATTCAAAATTAAAGTAAACTCAATACGACTAGGTATCCGAACATTAGATTATACGTTATAATTCTCCAGAAAGACTGCCAAGAACAGTGGAAAATCAGTTTCTCCGGCAATCTTTCATTTAAAACGAAATGACACACTGATTTAGACGAAGTGCCACAGAGTCGTAAGAATGCCCAAAACAGTTTGTAAATTACTAATCTTATTCGAAATATGATTTTATTAACAAATCTTCTCACAATACTTAATTTAAGCTCAAAAACGAACTTTTATAAATTAACATTATCCATGACACCTCCAAACCAACAAACCCAATTGCTCCCGTTTAAACCGAAGCCTGCTTACAAAAACCTTTCAAACAGTTTAAAACCACGCGGAAACTCCACAATGTACTTGAAATACATTTAAAAAAAAAAAGTTCGCGGAACGAGGAATTATATTCTCCACAACATCATCTGATAAGCTCTAAACAAACAGGTCAATAAAGTAAGCGAAAGTAGATACAAGTTGCGACAATTATGCTTTATATGTCATCAAGAATAGTTTTCTATCACAAATTTTTTGAATTTTCTCATTTTAAACGTTTTGCAAAATTTTTAAGACTGCGCAGTACAAGACTGCACCGTGCAAATACCAAAATGCTGTTAAAAGTAAAAGTAAATAAAAAAACGAAAAAATCTACTGTTTTGTAAAATTTGACCGCAAAAAAACTTTTTAAAGGGCAGTCGGACTATTTTACTGAGCGAGACAACATTACCTTGAACATCTTACTCTTTTCGACTCAAAAATGACCTTTTATTTCGAATTTTGAAATTGCAGAAAAGTAGTTGATTAAACTAGAAATGATTATTTTTCCAACGGTTTTCAAAAAATGTTTTAAACATTACAATACGGACAATATTTAAAAGCGTCACAAATAATATAAATTTCATTTATTACCTAAACACGTGGTAAAATGTACTTTAACATGCACTATTGGTGATATTGTAATTAGAAATTTAAGTAAAAGGTAAAAAATATGTTTTATAGTGTAATATTACAATATATTACAATACGTACTTAGTCAAATGTTTGTTGATACATTTTAAACATTAAAATATGTATTGTGGGTTAAAAAGGTTGTTGTAGTATACTATAGTACAATAAGTACTAAAAAAGCAAAGGTGGAAAAAGATCTGGATTTTTCTTCCCTCCTTTTCCCCTCCACCTACTCTCACCCTCCCCACCCTCTTTTGAAACGTTTCCCCCCCCCCTATCTTAACATCCTGTTACACCACCCATCCCCTACTCCAATATGAAGCCCGTACAGTTACAAATAACATCAAACATGACAATTTGAGCGTGCTGCCATATTAATAATACCGTTTTAAAACAGTACTGCCACCGAAAACAGTGCAATTATAACGAACGCACTTGGTGTAATAACATGTTTTTACGCAGTAATTACATCGTAAACACCAACAAAGATAATATGACGGATTAGAGGAGACACTTTAAATAGGATTTACTACATGTGCGAAGTTACAACAATGTAAAAACAAAATACTATTTATGTATATATTGTTGTTCAAATAATTCTGTGCCCCAAACTCCAAAAATTAAGAAGGAGTGCAAAATTATTTAAACACTCTTATTATATATATATATATAAATTACCCTGCCCTATACTAACAATTATAGATGAATTACCCCTGCCGAGCAATACCAAACAAATATTTTAATTACCCTTACCCAATAGTACTATAAATACATTTTATGTGTACACTAATTAAAGCATGACATTGTTAATCTAATGCATATACGATTGTTTATCAATGCCTGTATTTACTTCTTTTAGGGCAATGTTTATTAGCCCATCTTGAACACACTGTTTACCACCACCTGATCATGTTTACGACAGTTCAGCTGATCTTGCCTTTTCTCATAGATTCTTCAAATTTTTAATTTTTTCATTTTTAAAAATATTTTTTAGAGCTTTAATAATTTTTAGTTGCCGACATAAAGAACCCGCCATATTTTACAAGAAATTATAGAAAAAGTATGGCAAGTTCTTTATGTCGGTACCTAATAAAAAAAGACTTGACGTTTTTACTGTAAATTTCATTTCCTGTGGTTATATGTCACAATAATTTTTTACATCGTACCTAGGCGCATTTCTAATATTACAAATAAATGGGCAGTGCTAAGTGCGCAGGGTCTGTGGCAAATCGGTTCCTTGGCCTGCACAATCTTTCGGCAATGGCCTGAAGTCTTAAAACACCTCACCACGACTCGGCAGCTCGAGAAACAGATCACCTGGATAGGGCCCAATTGATAACTACTACAATTGCTTGCTCTGACCGCCTTCATCAAACCCTCACCACCCCCTCACATCTATATATTTACTTATATCTTGAGTTGCAAAAGGGAATAAAAGCTATGGCGTTTTTACTGTAAGTTTCATTTACCGTGGTAACGATAAGTTTTACACCGTGTAACGACAAGTTTTACATCATAAACATAATTATTTCTCAAAAGCTTTTGTTATTTTCAAAGTTTTATTGAATTAGTGTTAAAAAAGTTTTGTCGTCGAAATACATTGCTTTTCCCATCGAAAAACGACAAGACTTTTTTATGTCTTAATAATGTAAAATATTGTACTAAATTAGAAAAAGTACAACTACATCTTATACTTGGTAATCAATTTTCAAAAGCGGAAAGTTAAACCTTTCCCCACACTAAAAAGCTAAAAAGGTGTTTTTAATTGAACATAATAGAACCTCCCACTCTGTAACCATGTTCTCCCTCGAAGATTTTTTTATTTTACATAGGTGTCAAAATAGTAAATTTTAAACTTTGACCAGCCTTTTTGCCCTTTTACAATGCCATTTTTTATTGCACAACCTAACTCATTTATGTAAATAAATAACAGTTCTGTAAGCTTATATATAACCAGTTTTATTAATAGAGTTTGATCCCAAACAGGTGGTACAACAACTTAATGTACATGTATTTAAATGTAATCTTTAGTTTATTAATTTGTGCTCAATGCAAATAACTTGTCAAGGGTTTAATCTTGTGATAACATTATATTTTCGTGCAAAAATGAAATAATTAAAAAAAGGATTGGAAAGAACATTTTGCCATTTTTTGTTTGTAAAGAAAGTTATTGCCATTTTTTGTTTTCTAAAGAAAGTTCTTGTCATTTCTTGCTTTGTAAAGAAAATTTTTGCCATTTTTTGTATTGCAAAGAAAGTTTTTTGCATTCTGTGCTTTGTAAAGAAAGTTTTTGCGTTTTTCGACTAAAAGTTTTGGTTTTGTTTATATATAATGTTGTTCAAATAATTCTGAGCCCTCTAACCCCGAAAATTTGGATTGTAAGGGGGTACATAATTACTTGAACGTCCTAACATTACCCATTACATTATTATGTTGTTCAGATAATTATGTGCCACTCACCACAAACACTTGCTTTGACAGTGGGCTCAGAATTATTTGAACAACCAAATATGGACCATGAAACTGTCACAACCTGTCCATTCATTTACCTTATAATTAACCTATATATATAAAGTAACTCAACTCGAACTTTTACCCTCATCTTCACACACTCCCCCTGCCCTCTCTCCCTCAACCCCTATCCTCACTTGTCCAAAAGTACAGCTAAACTAATAAATTTACCCCACCCGCAGGTATCTCCGCGCGCGCCCTCCAAATTCGCGTTCGAAATAAAAAATGGAAAAAGTGCAAAACAAGGACTGAAAACATTTCTTTCAGAAACCGAGGCGAGAGAGTGCGCCGAACGCGGAGACTTGTTTACCGCCACAACGTCGTATAGCCTTTCCGTTCCGTCCGGCGCTCTCTCGGCTCCGCACACTCTCTCCGCCCCGCTCACATCCGAATAACATTCGGAAACAGTGGGGTTTGTTTTGTTCGTACTTCCCAAAGTGCACAAAACATTTCGAAACTCTTTTCGAAGTTGGAATTCGATTCGCCCCTCCGGCAACTCAAAATGGGTCAAATAAAAAATGATCGTTGAGATTTGAGAATTGTTTTAGGGGGGTTTTAACTAAAGGATTTTTAAGGTTCTCAAGTGAGAGTTAACTTGAGGTAGTTAACCCTAGCTTAGCCCTGAGCTCTAACCCAAAGCACTAGCCCAAAGCCTCAGCCCAGATCCCTAGACCAAAGCCCTATCCCACGGCTTTAGCCCAGAGCCCTAGCCCAGAGCCCTAACCCAAAGCCCTAGCTCAGAGCTTTTGCCCAGTGCCCTAGCCTAGAGCCCAAAACCTCAGTCCTGAGCCCTAGCCCAAAGCCCTAGCTCAGAGCTTTTGCCTAGAGCCCTAGCCTAGAGCCCAAAACCTCAGTCCTGAGCCCTAGCCCAAAGCCCTAGCCCAGAGCCTTAGTTCCTTTAAAGCAATTTTTTTAAAACACCACGCCCAAAACAAATACGAAAGTTATAACATATGAAACAAAATACCACTGAATACCACAATAGAAAGTTTTGTAAAAAAATACTGTCTCAGTAAAAAGTTACAACACATCAAAGTTAAAACATACAACTTTTTACAAATTTCAAAAAAGTTTTTTTAATTTAAAGAAAACAGCAAAGTCCAAACTTTTTTGAAATTATATCACATAAAGCACCACAGTCTACAGTATCTTTACCCAAAATGCCGCTTTAAAATGTCATCACAATAAAAAGTTATTGTGAGTTAAACCCAACACACCCGTCAGCCAAAAAAGTAAAAAAAATATAAAGTACGATGAAACTTTTTAACAACCCTATTTAGGGTCTTCAGACGTCAGCCGGCTTC